TTGGCTCTTAAGTACAACTTCCGAGCCAAAAATCGAGTCTCTTTAAATGTTAAAAGAAGTACTTGCAATTCCAAGCGACATAGCGAACGTATATAAGACGAAATGAGAGGCAAGCTAGAAGAAAAATTATTCTCTTATAACCAATATCGATATACAGACAAGGAAATATTATAAAGAAATCAAATATATATAACACATATTCAAAATCGAAATAAAAATTATGTAAGTCGAGACAAAGGATAGTTTGAATGCATGAAATAAAGACATGATCCGAAATTTCTCTTGAAAGGAAAGTCAACGAAAGACGATAAAAGATGTAAATATCATGAAGGGACCCGAAGTAAAGAACAGACATGAAGGAATGCATAGGACGCAAGATGGAGTAGAAAAGAGCAAACCCACGTAGGTAGACGAGATGAAGGACGAGGGAAGGAGGGAAGGGGCTCGCCGGCTGCCGGGATGCAAGACGCAGGGTGACGGCAGATCGTTAGGGTGGGAATGGAAGGGGACGAACGAGAGGAACAAGGACGTGGGGGTGCGCGCGCGAAGCAGCACTGGGCCATTGATCGGCTGCGCGCGATGATGACCGCCGCCGCCACCGCCACCGCCACCGCCATCGCCACCACCGTCGTCGTCGTGGTCGTCGTCGTCGTCATCGTCATAGCAGCTGAGCATTTCGCACCGCACGCAGATTCGTAGCGGCGATTTCTCGCTTTCTTCACGCGCGCGCGCACGCTTAAGTGTGAGGGGTGAAAGAAGAGCGCGGCGACTGCGGCGAGGGTGGAAAAGCACCTGACAAGGGGCGGGTAAAACCGCGACAGGGTCAGTAAAGGGAATCGGGGATTAACCGCTCTGAGAGATGTTCTCGTCTACAGATTTCCTTGCTCATTCTCGATCCGAGAGCTCGATATACCGGATAATGGTGGCGAACATGTTACGTGTGTCCGACTTTTTGGGACCAATTCGAGTGGCCGCGAGAAACTGACTGACTCTCATGACGACAGTCTTTTGGGTCAAGCGAGCCCGATCGTGAATCGAAAAGTCCAGTTAGCGTATTTCTCGTAGATGTGCCGACTTGTACGTTTGTTTGTCAATAAGAAGAAATTTGATTTTAGACGAAGGTGGACAAAAATAACTGGACTTTTATCTCTAAAAAATAATTTATAAAAAATATAATACACAAAAAAGTATTTACGAATCACAATTGTTAAAAAAATGTAATGTTAAACGAAGCTGAAAAAATGTGATACTTTTCTATGTGATATACTTCTAACTCGAAAATTTTTCTAGTCTTTTACTATTTTTAAAAAGATGTTATAAGAGAAAACTATGAAATATTATAAATCTCTTTTTCTGCTAAATTTTTATTCAGAAATTTGTTTGATAAAAAAATTATTTTGATAAATATCCCACTAAAAAAAATTTAATGACAAACTGTATTTAAGAAACTGTATAATAACTGTGTAATAATTAAAATAGATGTTATATATATGTACATTAATTATTATAATTATACATTAATTATTATATATATATTATGCGATGATATAAAATTTTAATCTTTGTTCTAATAATTTTATAATCAATTTGTATTTTGTATTTTCAATTGACAAAATCTATCGAGATGCACTATTAGCTTATTTAACCAAGACAAATCGTGTCTATTCTTATCACTTTGCGTGATGCGATGTCAAAGAAATACATACTGTATATCGATCACTTTTTCCTTATCTATGTACGAGTGCATTGACGCTGCAAGAAACTCTGCATATATTGATTTCGTATGAAAAAACCGGAGAGCAGTTACGACCACAGAACTGATAAATACAGTCAATATGCTACTTTATGCAGATTTTTCTATTAATAAATTTGGTTAAAAAATATCTCAAAATATGACACACAAAAATTATAAAAGTATTACATAACTTATAATAACAATTATATAAAAGTATTTAATTAAGAAAAACACAAAATATATAAATTTATATATTAATAGTAATTATTATATTAGTGCTGTGAGTACATTTATTTGTATGTGTATATTGAATATATATTATCCATTAGCTATTTTTCCAATTATACATATAATAATTGTTATTGATAAATAGGAATTTAATTGTTATTGATAAGTAGGAATTTTAATATAAAAAATATTAAAATGTATGTTTAATCAATTAATTTTACATTGATTTTATTTTATCAAAATTCATTTTTCATCTATTTTTATTTTTAATTTTTAAATTCTATTTTTGATGATAATAGATTATACAGTTCGTTGTTATATGATATTTTACGATATTTTATGAAGAACTTTGAGCATGAAAAATTATGGAATCATTTGCAATGAAATTGACATATTTTTCCGAAAATTTATAGTAATACACTTATATCCGATCTATAGCTATAAAAGAGTATTACTTTGATGTACAATCATATTAAGTATAAAGAATATTTTGTGCGTGATACCAAAATTAAGGATCTTTTGACTTCGTTATAAGCGCGTATATAATAAATAATACTACTATTGGATCTTCTTCTCTTGATAATAATTTCACAAATGCTGCCAAACAAAGAAATCCCGCCGCAAACGTGTCATCATAAAACTTGAAATCGACAACGAAATAATGAATAATAAGGCGATGATTTTGAATTAGCTTTTTGCTCGTTTCTCAACACTCACCAGGTTTCAGCCAGTGTCCTCCACTTCCTTCACGATAGTATCAGCTCGGTTTCGACGATAATGGTCGCGGATCGATCGCACTTATAGGATAATTTGATTTTATTAATAGACGACGATCAATGATGTGTTAATTTTAATACAATTATGTTCTGCCATCACCCGAATATGGGATCGAATATACATATATTGAAGTAGTCGCGGATATCGATCAGATATGATCCGCTCTTTCGAGCTATTTGCACCGACACATACCATATGTATTATTAAATTTAATCACGCTTTTAGATCACGACATTTATCTCAGAACTTCGTAATTTACAAGGAACTCTTCGATGGAAAGAAGCTAGAACAAATTCTTAAAATAAAAGACATGATAATAGTAAAGTAAAATTTATAATGATAATATTGTGTAAATAATAATTTTTATACAAATAGTTAAAAACGGGCGTATAGAGCTAGATGGAAGTGTATTAATAGAGTTTAATTATATCAAGAAAAATAAAAACATTCGAATAAGTCTATGTTGACGGTGACATTACAATACAGACATGCTAAACATATGTACAGTCCCATTTAAAATCTTTATTATAAACATAATACTACTATTACATTGTTAATTATATTAATACATTATATATAAAGTCTAACAAATTTGTGACGTATTATTGACAAGAAAACTGTATTCTCTAATTCTTGCGCTGTATTAATAATAATAATAATTAATAATAATTAATAATGATAAAATCTCTATGACATGTTATACTCATTTTATATAAATATTTGTCGGAAATATACAGATTTCCTAAGATGCACTTATTTCAGAGAATCCTATTTTTAAAATTTTTTATTTCTTTTTACTATAATACTTATAATATGTTTTTGCACTTATTTATTTATTATGTCCGTAGGATTAACATTCGCTGTTTGAGATTTAAAAATATTAATTTGACTTCAAAAACCTCAGTTTCTTCATATTATTTTCCGGAGATGATATATAATATTATTTTAGAAAGAATCTCTCTTCTTCCCAAATAATTAAGAATGGATGTTTGTCTCTTTGGCACGCTGTTTCGACCAAATGCAACGTGATACATTGTTATATCATCGCGATGAATTATGATTGTACATTCATCATGTGGATAGCATCGCACTGTTCAGGCATCTACAAATAAAGCGTATATTCCTCTCAGTCTTCTGACAGGGAAACAAATCTACGCTTTTACATGATATACATTTTGCACTATGAATATGCTTCCTTCACCAATTTATTTAATAAAAAGATTGTAATTGTCGATTAATAGAGAGAAAATAAAGGGAAAAATTTCGACAAGAAATAATCTCGTAAAAGAAACCATTAAGATGTTTCCACAATTGCAACCTATCCATTTTTATACATATCTAAAAATTGTTCTGAAAAAAAGAAGGTAATTATATACATTAGCGATTCCTCATCGATTTCAATGATCTTGAAATATGTTGTCGGGAGCATCATTCTGAACAACTTTTTCTTATACATGTTACCGCCGCTCAGCCTTAGTTTCCGAGATATTTATAAAAACATTTTATGGTTTTGCAATATTGTCACCATTATGAAATAACTTTTTTGCACCATGTATTCAGTTTTTGAGTGATAATGGTGTAAATATTATGATTGAGGTAACGCGACGCTATGTTTTTTTATTGACGCAAATTTGTTTACTGACTTTTTATACTTAGAGAGTAATACAAATGACAGTTTTTAGTCAGGGGAAGCCCCGACTAAAAAGTTATAAACAAAAAGATTTGTAAAGCGAGATCCTACCGGTGGGATGGTTGCGGGAGGGGGGAGGCTAAAGGCCCCCCTTGCATTCCCCGCGTGTGTGTATAGTATCAACTCTCTAAGTATAAAAAGTCAGTAAAAAAATTTGCATCAATAAAAAAACATAGCGTCGCGTGATACCTCAATCATAATATTTACATCATTATTACTTTGTCAAAATACATTGTCTGAATACATGGTGCAAAAAAGTTATTTCATAATGGTGACAATATTGCAAAACCATAAAATATTTTTATAAATATTTCGGAAATTAAGGCCGGCGATAACATGTATAAGAAAAAGTTGTTCAGAATGATGCCCCCAGCAACATATTTCAAAGTCAAATCGGTGTATTGAAATGTTGAAATCGGTAATGAATTACTTACCCATACATTTTACGGTATAATTAATTAAGTGCTTAAAACTGGTTTTAAGTAACTGGTTTTAGCGTAATTTCTCAACAACGATATGTTTATATATAAGCCTTAACATGTAACACGAAAATTCAGTGATGGCTTATTATTCGTTCGATTGCAACTTACAGTGCTGTATTGGAGTCTGTTTTCAAACGTAATATTCAAACACAATATTTATTAATCTATTATATACAATAGTCTTTATTAATCTAGTCTTAGTCTAGTCTTTATTAATCAATTATACAAATTTTTTTTGTAAAACCTTAATATAAACATAATACTACTATTACATTGTTAATTATATTAATATTAAAAGTTTGAAGAAAAAAATTAAGTTTTACAAATAATTATTTTTTTAAATTATATATAGAAAGATAAATCATATGACAAATAAACTTTATTTATCATATAAACTTATCAACAATAAATAACATTCGCGTAGTGGAATTTAGAAACCGGATCTTAAGATAGCGAGAAGTGTTCTCCTGAGAGAAAAGAATAGCATGAATTTATTTGTGTTTCTATTTTTTGCTGGCACATGTGTGATTTTAAGGTACTGAAGTCAATAACTTTTGCATCATGCGTGTCAGAAAAAGACAGATACACAAGTTAATACTATCCTTTTCCCTCAGGAAAATACCCCCACTTACAAGCAGTCTATGTTAATATGTCTATGACTTATACTTACACTTGCATTTCCTTTATATTCGAGAGAGAAGCATACACACGTCAAGGTTTTTTTTTCTAAATTGAACCCAATGCTTAATCGAAATGTAAGTTATACGTATATTAGAGTAATGCAAAGAATTATTGCATTTCTCTCAAATAAAGTTAAAAAGATATTAACGCATGAGAAAATTACAATTTCTTATTTCATCCATTATTGTATATGTAAGATAACATTATCATATAATTGTTATTTTAATATTTATTTAGTTTTATTGTTTTAATTGTTTATATTATCAAAATAATATTACATTGACAAATATTGTTCAAGAAGGCATTTTGCGAAATGAGTGCAAATACATTTACATAAATATAGTAAAGTCCGAATAGATGGAGCAACGTGCAACAAAATACACACACGGTGAACACTTCGTTTATTGATCGGAAAATACAATAACTTTATTTAAAACAGAACTTGTACATATACATATATAAGTTCTGTTTTAAGTTAATTTATTGTTTTCTCTTAATTTAATGCTATGTGTATATCTAAGAGTGTTGTTATGTATCTGTTCTATGTTTAAATGTAAAACAGCATAAACAACTTGTTTCATATTTAGTAGAAATTCTCTCTGTAGACAAACTGTTTTATAAGCGCAATACATAGTATATTTTATAAACAAATATCTATTTTGTACATAATAATCGCACCAAAAATATTTTATCTTGTGCTATCATCGAAAATCACGTTTCTCACATGTCAATCTCTTCTCGTGGTAACAGGCTATTTCTTTTATCTTAGAAAACTAATTAAGGTGATTTCTTTTATTAGGACACCCTATATAGATGCAACATACATATATATATATATATACGGCAACTAGTTCATCTTCTCGATAGAGTTCTCATAGCTACACCAACTGAAACGTCAGTCGAGGAAATCTACAGGTGCCACTTATTGTTATTTGCTAATCTCGCTGTCAGTATTAATTTCAAAAATATCATGGATTACCATCGAAACAATGAAGCTGAAATGCACAAGACGCCAATACAAAAATTTTACGCCGGACAGTCAATCTTCATTACAGGTATTTATTATATAACTAAATAGAATAAAAAATAGTAAAATAAGTAGATTAGATAATATGTGAATAATTTTGATCCACACATATTAAATTTAGAAGAATAGTTCCATTGTGCAATAGCAATCGTCACATCAGAAATGATCCAATTTTCCAAAAAGATCTTGTCCGCAGAGCGAATATGTGTATACAAATAAAAAGTCTGCATTTTGAACATATGCTTTAAAACATTTATTGATCTATTTTAGAGCCAAAAAAAATTCTTAGAACGTTGAAACAATAATTTTGGATCAAAATTATTTACACATGTTATTTAATTTACTTATTTTATTTTCATGCAATTATCATGCATAGTTCTGTAAAACTTTTATCAAAATAATAAAATAGCGTATATGCTCAAATGTTGCGCAAGCTGTGCGCGCGCCGCCTTTGATTTATATGTAATCTAAATTTATTCAACAACTTTAATTAAGTAGAAAGTTATTTTTATTAAAAAATAATATTCAAACGCAATTTTGTCAAAGGAAAATGTTGTTTCTTTTGGCATGAACTATCACGCTATGCATTCCATGTCCACGAATTCTGGTACATTCTGTATATATAATAATAGATGTCATGTAGATTTAATATTTAATTTAATATCTATTTAATATCTATTTTAAATCTATAATGTAGATTTCATATTAATGTAATCATTTAATTTAAATACTTGAACTTTGGTCAAATCAACAATTTTTCCTCTCAGTGTAATATTATTATTTAATACTTAAATACTTTAAATACTTAAATACTTTAAATACTTAACTACTTAAACTTTAGTCAAATCAACAATTTTTTCTCAGTGTAATAGAAAACAGATTACCACTATGTGCATATGTGTGTGAACGGTATGTGTGAATAAAGTACTTGTGTTAAACTACGTTATTCCTTTAATTTTTAGACTTATGAAATTTTTTTATTAATAATAACAAATGAAATTTTTATTAAAATAATAATTCAATTAAAATCCAATTAAAATATTAGTCTCGATATTATTTACATATTATATATTTATCGATATGAAAACAGAATTAGATGTAGGTTTGTGCCTGAAAAATAGTTATGCGATGCTCTTCACAAATCTTTCCTATCCTTACATAAAATAGCGTTTTGTTTATCTAGAATATAAATCGGCTAGAAATATTGCGCAGTCCATTAACCGCACAGTTAAAATTGAGTACGACAATCGTAAACTTAAACAATGACGCACATGAGTCTTATGCATCATACCGTAAATTCTTACGCTTACGCTTAAATCTACTTTGTTTTATATATATATATACATATATATATATATATATATATATATATATATATATTATGAATACACGCTAATTTTCCTTTTATTATATCATTTTACAATAATCTTAACAAAATTGTTATTTCTTTTATTCTAATTTTAGATTTTTTTTTCATTAAACGAAAGCGATAATAATTTTCCTTACAGCTTGATTTTTAATTCAGATAACTTTTGTTCCTTTTCTTTGTTGGTGTATATGTATCTTATTCTCTGCTGTAAAAAAAATTATGTTTTATCAAAAAAATTAGATAATTTATCTTCATTATTTTCAACTCTTTACCATGCGTGCTTTTGCCTCTTCTAAAATATTTACTCGCATTGTCTATAACTAGACTTATCTTAATAAAGAAAATTTATTCTGCAAATACAAATTGATTTTTATAATAAATTATTTAAAATTTGCAAGTATCTAAACAGCTATTATTGAAGTTATTGATAATAACCGGTTTACTCTTAATCAATAATCGTAAGATATTTTTTTTTGACACATTAAAACATTTATATTTATATTTATAAAGATCATATATTTGATTTTTTTTAAATTTAATAATTAGAGACTTGGCTCAATGCTAATCAAAAAAACAAAAAAAAAATGACATAAGAGCCAACGCGCGATAGTTAAAGCGCAGAGAAGCAACCACACTTCTTTCTTTTTTCAATATTAGTTTATTAAAAAACACATTATAATAACAAAAGCGAACGTTTGAGTACGTCATCGAATCTCGAATAGATATGAGGCGCACAGCGGCATACTATATTATTAATTGTAAAAAAGCGCGGAATCTGATTTGCCGAGACATAGCATAATTATAATATATTTAATTGATTGTTGGAATCAGAGTGCTTATTAGACCTTCGCGGGATGCAATTTAACGTCACCTGCGCGTCGAGAATAAATTCATTTAATGTAACGTGTCACTATCTGTAATATATATTGTTAACATCGCGCTGAAGAAGGATCAAAAGATGATCCGAAACGAAATTTGTATTTTCTATCGATTTTATTTTTATCTACATGACCATGAAACATAAAACAATATAGAATCCTAATCATACATTTAACGTCTTTTGTTAGCAATTTTAACTAGTTTTTAATAAATAGTATCTCTCTTTATATTAAATAGTTAAATATTATCTTTGAATCACTCTATTCTTTTCAATTCTTATAAATAATCCAGTTAGTAAATACTATATGCTTATTTTATGTATACAGTTTGTAAATCTAACTTTATTTTGCATCTTTATTTTTAAGAATACAACTATAAATTTCAATAAAAATCAATAAAAATAGGCTGTTGTTAGTGATTAGGTTTCTATCTTTCAATTAAAGTTAATAAAATAAAACAGTGTTAATCATTTCCAAGTAATACAAATAAAATTTGTAATTTCTTGATAAAAATCAATTTTCTTTATTTCATCAGCAAGAGTGATATGCGTGATCATTGATAGCATATTTTTATAAGTAAGTTTTATTCGAAATATTTGCAACATTATAATTAGATCAATCATAAATCAACTAAAGATTTAAAAAGAAAGATTTTTGCACTTACAAACAACTGTTGTTTGTAATTGTTGTAAATTGTTTGTAAATTATTTTTATTCTGCTTTACATCAATTACTACGCTGATGATTTAGTAATGATACAGACTTGTAAACACTGAAGTTGCAAATAATTTTTAATTTAAGAATTAGATTTATAAGCAAACAGCAATAAAATTTTTAAATCATAAATTATAAAATCTCAAATTTTCTGCATTATTTAGATCTTGGATTTCGCTGGGAAAAAGAGACTTTTCGATTTATATTTTACGTTGCTTTACTCTATTATACAGCTACTTTCCACTGATAATTCAATCTGTATTTTCAATTCATCAGATTTAAGCATTTATCCACTTATGAGAGATTCCACCTCGGATCATATCTTCTCTAGAGGCTAAAAGTGTCATTATATTGAGGAATAATTTAGCAAAAATCCTTTGAAGAGCATTCTCTTTGTTAAATTAGTTACTTTAAAATCATTGAATTGCTCTCCATTAAATCATTCAAAAGAAACTTTACAATACATTTCCTAAATGTCAAACGATAAAAGTTGGCAGCTTAGACTTTTATCAACTGCTTCTGTGCTTTTAGCTAAATTTATTATTTCACATTGTCACTCTAACATATTCATTCTTATTTTATTTTTCATTCAATATATTTATATTTAGATATTTTTATTTATATTTATATTTTATTCTTCATTTTGTTTTCTATTTTTATTACTATATTTTTTATATTCTCGATTTTTTCAATTTATTATACTATTATTTTATTTTGTTATATACTTTATATACTATACGTATGTTCGTAGGAAAACTTTTGGAACAAAATAAATTACTATTATTAACTATTATTAATTACTATGTATTAGTAACTCTACTACAAGTTCCCAAATTAAAATCTCTCTGTATTTAATATATTAATTGATAATTTAAAATTAATTTTCAATTGATAAATGTAAAACATTTCAAATATTAATTTGTTTTAGTAACAATATACGTTCAATAATTTTGAAAACCTTATTAATTACTATATACATATAAATAATAAATTCGTAATACTAGAATTCTTACGAGACTTTTTCCTTATATTATCTTTCTGGATATTGTAATTAATACATATTACAGTTTACACTTAATTTCATTTTTTTATTTTTTTCTACAGGGAGTACCGGGTTTCTCGGAAAAATATTAATCGAAAAATTGTTACGAAGTTGTCCCGATATTTCTACAATGTATCTATTGATACGCCCGAAAAAGGATAAGTGCCCTGAAAGCCGACTGGATGACATATTTAAAAATTCGGTAAGTATCTAAAAAGCAGTAATATGATGTATTCATGAAACATTACTATGTGAATTTATAATCTGCAGTTGTATGATCGATTAAGAAAGGAAGTGCCTAATTTTCGCAAAAAAGTTGTGCCAATTATAGGCAATTTTGATGTTGAAGATTTAGAACTATCCGAAAATGATAAGAATATCCTGATACGTGAGGTAATAATTCAGATTTCTCTTGCATTTGTATAATTATATTCAGCGCAAAAAAGTTATCGTATGTTTAAGAGATACATATTCTATATAAATTAAAAATATTAATTATTCAGATTAATTAGTCAAAAATAAATCTTCTTTTTATATATGAAATATTATAATATAGTATATTAGAAAAAAATTCTTATTATATTTACTTTATATTGTAGGTGTCCATAATTTTCCACTTGGCAGCGACTATGCGTTTTGACGAAGAAATAAAAATTGCTACGACAATAAACATTATGGCTACAAATACCATTTTAAACATTGCTAAACGTATGTTAAATTTAAAGGTAATTTTATTTTGTAACAATAAATATTGTAAAATAATTGAAAAGAATTATTAATTTTTATGAATTTTAAAGAAATAATTAAATCGATATTGACATGTATTTTGTAGTCATTCATTCACATATCGACCTTGTATGCACATTGCAACGATAACTTAAAATTGATCGAGGAACGTTTTTACACATATTCTGTTGATCATAAGGATTTTATTACATCAATGCGTGCTTTACCCCAAAACGATGAAAAATTATCTAGGTGCGTATTTCTTTTATTCTCGATACATAATAAATAAGATAATAATAATTAACTTTCCATGTAAAAAAATAAATGTTTATAATAAATCAAAATTATTATAATAAATTACTGTAATATTATTATTTTGATAGAATGGCTTCATTGTGGCCAAATACATATACATGTACAAAAGCCATTACAGAAATTCTTCTCATAGAGGAAGGCAAAAACTTACCTATTGGAATATTTCGACCTGCAATGGGTAAAGAATTTAATTAATTATACATTATTTTATCATACTAATTTTTATATTAATTAATTTTTTAAATTTATAATTCATCTTTATTATATATAAATCATCTTCATATTGTATTATTTATTATATATATATATATATATATATATATATATATATATATATAATGCAAATTCATTTTTATCGTATATAATTCATTTGTATCGTAGATTATCGTATATAATCTTGCGAGAAATATTATAAAATACATATTATACATTTCTTATGTGTAATATAAAAGTATAATTATTGTTATTAATAAATAAATTAATAATTAATATTAATATAACATAGTACTGAAAAAAGTGAAATTTTAAGATGATAACGTAAAATCGCAAAAATATTGCTGATTATTATTAAGTGATTATTATTAAGAGCAAGCTTTAACGAAAAAAAAATGAATATTTTTTCAGTCATGCCTAGCGCTAATGAACCGATCGTCGGATGGGGCGATAACTTATATGGACCAATTGGTAGTACAATATCTATCCTGCTCGGTTTCACGAGATTTCAATGGTGCGATCCCGATATTACGGCGAATTTGGTGCCTGTTGATTTTACCGTAAACGCTTTAATTGCTAGTGCATGGGATGTCTCTAATCAATGCAGGTATAATCAAATATCATCAAGGAACGCACACATCTGATAATAACACATACAGTACTGATCAAAAATATATCACCTTTATGTTTTTTAAGGATAACTTAATTCAATGTGCATATATTTCTATCTAATCACACATATTTTAATAATAGGTATATCGGTTATTAAACGATAGATTTTTCATTCAATAATGAAAACAGCAACGAAAAATTAATTAAATATATATACACTTTGAATTAAGTTATCCTCAATAAAAAAACATAAAGATATATTTTTGATTGGTACTGTATTTCATTTTTGTCATAAATAGTTCGATATTAATTATTGTCATCAGATGTTAAATATTGGCATCAATCTCAGTCCTATTTTTAATCTTCAATTTTACTCTAAAAAAATTACAAAATATTTTATATAATTCATGTAATCTATTGTATCACTTCAACATTCGTGAAAAGTTGATGTCAAGCATAAAATAATCAACCTTTTTTTTAACTAATACATCAACATATTTATGTAATATATATTGACATAATTACATAAAATAAAAGTATTGGAACATGTGATTTATGATTAATAAACGGTTTTTAAGAAGGATTTTTTAATTTTTATAGGACAGGCAAAAATATGTTAATTTACAATAACACAACAGCACCTAATGCGCCGACTTGGGGCGAATACATTAATAAAATTATCTGTTTAAATCAGAAATATCCCTTGAAAGATTCCATGTGGTTACCATTTGTTTTTTTAGTACCAGGAGAAATAACATATAAAATTGGCATTTGGTTTTGTCATTTGCTTCCGGCCTTTTTTGTGGACAGTGTAAGGATATGTGTAGGCCGTCGCCCGAGGTATAGAAATATATATAAATATTGATTATTCAACTATGTATGTATAATAATTTATCTTGAAATTAAACAAAATTTATTTAAATTTATTTAAACTTCTAAAAAACACATATAAGGAAACGTAATAATTCTTTATATATATTTCAGAATGTGGAAATTGTATAATAAAATCCACAAAGCTATCAAGTCAATTGCATATTTTTCAATTACTAGATGGCAATTCACCGATGATAATGTTCAAACGATGTGGAACCGCTTGAATAAAGAAGATCAGCAATTATTTCCATTCAACGTAAGAGAACTTGACTGGACAAAATACCTTATTGATTTTCACAAAGGTTTACGTCTTTATTTCTTAAATGAAGATGACAGTAATTTAGAAATTAGTCGTATAAATTATAAAAGGTAAAGAATTTCTTTTTCATTCTTATTAAAATTAATTTGTTTTTAATATAAAGATTAAACTTCTCTTAAGGACAAAATCATGAATTTCAGGCTTTATTGGACACACCAAGTATTTAAAACTATATTAATTTTTTTCACTCTTTGGATTATTTGGATCATATTCGTCAAAATATTTGCATAGTTTCTCTCTATATGTAAATATGCTTTAATTTATTAATATTAATATAAATACATTAACATATATTATATATACATGTATATTTTAATTTATTGATATTGATACACTAACATATAACATTGAACATATTTCTCTACATATGTTATTGAATTTATCTTCTTTTATCTTACTTGCATGGCAAAAAGTTTAAATATTTTAATATTTATTCTTATCAACTTATTTTCTTGAAATTCTTAAATAATTAAAATATCTCTATTTGAAAAAATAATTTTTGTCTTAACGATTATTGTTTAAACTTGTTTAAGATAAAAATTATTTTTTCAAATAGAGATATTTTATAATAAAACTATTTTCCTTCGTATATACATATACATTTATCTTAAAATCCTCAACTTCTTGTAAAAATTACAAAAAAATGATGTAAGTAAAAATAGCTATCTTATTTTGCATTTTACACTTGTTTTGTTATTGTCATTATGTTACAGTAAATATTTTCTCAAAAATTATACTTATTTTTTATATCTTTTAAAAATTTTTGTCCTTTAAAATTTTATTAAACATATTCAAAAAGGCTTACGTGATGCAGGAAACTTGAACAATGTAACCGACGCCATAGCAAGTGATAAATTGTTTGATAAATTGTTAACTAATTGTTAAAGAAATGAATTAAAATGTAATATTTTAGATTTATGTTAAATATTTTAGCTATAAGAGAAGGCGTTAAAGTTTACTATATACTATATTCTCGCTATTGTAAATAAAAAATTCATTAAGCACTAAATACTTGCTTTTTTTTCTGTCGAAGTCCATCACAATAAAAAATAATACTAATAAGTTATGAATTATAAAAAATACAATATTATATGTATACGATTATTGATAATATAGAGATAAAATTTAAATAGATTTTTATAAATTTTCATTTTATGCTTATAATTATTTTCTGTCGTAAACTATTGAAACATGTTTAGCGTTTCCGGATGTAGAAGGTCCTCACAACTATTAGTTCCGTTGTGTCTTAGTTGACTTTAATGCCACGCGAAACCTTATCGGGATTTGAAAACATTCGTGACCTACCCCGAGAACAGGGATTACACTGTTTGCGATGTCAAAGAGTCAGCAGCCACTCGCCAGGAATTCTGGCGCTATGCCAATCGCGGAAAAATAGGTTATCGATCAACCCCCTCGGTCTTGGTAATAACTATAGGACCCCCTTTTTCTCCCAAATCCAAAAGGAGAGAAAGAGAGAAAGGGTTAGAGATCCGCGTCTAAATTATAAAAAGTGGAAATCTTGGGCACGTAACCGCAACTACCGTCGTCGAAATAAGCGTCATTAAGTGTACATACAATCATAATACAAAGAACCAAAATCGTGTCAAGAGTTTTATTAATGCCTTAAATTTTATATATATATATATATATATATATATATATATACATACATACATACACACTATATACATACATATGTATTATTTTATAATATATAATTTTACAGTTTCTTATATAATTAATTGTTATTATTATCATTATTATAAAATTAAAACTACAAAAAAGTAAAACAGCGAGAAAAAATATTTATAATTCAACATACAAATAAAAAGTCATATATTGATTTAAACAAAGTAAAATATTAATCATTAAAATATTAAAATATATTATGAGAGATATTATTAAGAACGTATATTTTTATTACATTTTTCTAATACTTGCAACAGCAATAAGTCAGTAAAATTTAAACTCTCTGAGTCAACGAATCGCTATTTTGGGTAAAACTAAATAAGTTTAGTGCGTAGCTGTTTTCCACGTGACAGAGATACACGGTACTCGAGATAATTTGCGCAGCGATTAAACTAAACGGAGTGTCTGCAAGTCAAGTGTAACTGTGTACACCTTTATATAATCTGTGTACCAGCGTTTATTAATAATTCAGGGTCGTAGGGAAAATGCATTACCTAGGAAAATCATTGCTTCGTCTTATGGGAGTAAGTGAAGGGCATGTTTACTCTTATATTATCGCACAGACCGAGTTTCTAGAAGGTCTATCGCAATTTTCCACCGAACGCCTTCATGATGTTCGTTAACTTTATTTCCTGATAAAATGCATTCCTCAATTTATTTTCCGATAAATCAGAGTCCTCAATTTATTTCCTGATAAAATGCATTCTACTTATTATGGTTATACTTTATACTTCTTTTATAGTTCTGAAAGCTCGTGGTATAAAATATGTATATCAAATTGATAATAGATATTATCCTAGGTAAACTATGTAAAACTCGATATATGCCCGAAATATGTTCGGCACTTCGGATATCAAGCAGCTAATTTCGAACAGAAAATAATTTTGCAACTCAAAAAATAGTTTTAACAAATATCGTGCACACTTTAAGCTCGATGAATTTTTGTATCCTATCTCATTCCATTACTTTAAAATCTGTCGAACTTTTCCAAATAATTAAAATTTTTACTTCTCTCGGATTTAACGATTGTTAAATTTTTAATATTAATTTTAATTTTAATTTATTTATCAATTCAGTATAATTTTCAAACAAAACATAATAACATTTAACTATCATTTCAAGGGAAATACATTCTTTGTTGTTCTTTTGTTTATTTTCATCTTCTTTAATATAATATATGAGATATTGTTAAATTATCGATCAGTCTTTCTTTATATAGAATTCTTTACCTCTCACATTAATCAAGTTAACATAATATATAGTTGCAGGAATTATTTATTCATTGTTAAATAATCTTGTTACTTTTTGCGTGACATAAAAATCAATGAATGTTTTGCGGACAATCCCGTTATCGACAGTCATTTTCTAATTTTAAAACCGTCAAGGATCAGCTACTGGTATATGAGAAAAACATGCTTTTAAAACGATGATAAGCGGAAATACGTTTGAAGCACGTAACGGCGATACATCTATTATACGGCCTGATGCTGTTAAACATTCACAACGTTTTGCAAGGCTTCTACCGCGCGTTTACCGGATATACGCTGATAAACGACACTACCCGAAAGAAGATACGCATACAAAGTGACTCGACGACACTGTTGGCAGATAATGTAATGCCAGATTTTTCGACAAATTTTCGAAGTCAAATTTTGTGGAAAATTTTAAGACAAAGAAACCTGTTTTTTTTTTCAACGTACATTAAATTCTTAATATTAATTATATATATTTTGTAAAAATAATCAAACACATGCATTTTTAAAATTAAATTTCTTCGCAAGGTTTAGATTATACGAGAAATTTGATTTCAAATCAATATCTGCGTTTGATTAAACACAATGCGATTAAATTCTCGCTCATACACGTGTTCAGTTTGAATCAGCTGATGAGCTGTCAAATTGCATTTGCAGTCGCACCGCATTTTCGGAAGGATAGCATCATCTGGTGTCGGTGGAGGAAACTAAAAAGCTTACTCTAAGGATAAGAAATGAGAAGGGGCACTCGTCGAAAGTCTTACCACGCACACACGATAGATATCCACATTATCGATCTCCCATGGTAACTCATGGGTACTCACCGAGTATAACAGTCGGTAGAAGCGAATTCTCTCATCGAGCGTATCCCAAGACCGATGACGGCGACGTGCGAACGTGGCGGCCGCTTCGACGACATATGATGTGACACCGGAGCACGTCTTCTCGGTCGTCGGAAGCAGGAAAGCGACGCGCGCGCGGGGCCAGGCTCTCGTCCGCGATCCCTTGGAGTGAGGGAACGGGCGAACAACACGAACGACGGTGAGTGGGGCCCCACGCGCAGTATGGGCATAACCTGTTGGACGACGGCACGTTGTAGCGCTGCGATCCATCGCGGTGGAGCCCACGACGGAGCGATTACGGCCGTCAGGTCGTCCGCCGCACGGCAGACACCGTGATGATATGAATCTGCGGGGACGATCGCGTTGAGAGAGAAGAGCGACCAGAACAAGAATCCGTCATGTTCCACTACCTGCATCTCAGGAGTCGTTTTCTGCAGACCCTGATCCTCGCGTTGATCGGCCTGACCTTCTACGCGTATTATCGTACTACCGTTAATGATGTTCGCCAGTACAGCTTGCTACGGAACATCAGTGAGTATTTGTAATGAGAGAATTGCATTGCGATGACCTCTATTGCTTTGACTTCAAGCGAATAATTAATTTAATGATTAAGGGAAATTAAGTCTAGATAGCATATACAATTCTATATAAACAATTATTATATTATTTATGTATCTATAAATTTGAATTGTTTAGAAATTCTTGCTTTTTATTTTTGTCAAAGAAAATGCAAAAGAAATTGCAACATTTATTTAAGATTTTAAGATGTTAAAATTAATCAATGTTTTTAAATATATTTAAAATATATTTAAAATTTAATTGAAATTCTTCTCCAATTGATGATTGCTCAAAATTTCAGGTTTGCCTGTGTACCAAGAAGGCCTCCATGTACATACAAATCTCAGTGTGGACACGCGGCTGACAGCAGCAGCATCCAGGAACTCCAACTCGGACAATGTGTCTTTGAGTCCATATATAGCACACAACGCGAGCAACAACTCCGCGATTCTTATCACGACGCTGTCAACATCCTCCAGCGCGCAGTCCTCCGCGTCGTCTTCCGCGAGCACATCAATCAACTCGAAGCAAAGCGCGAACGAGAAGCTTCAGGTGGCGAAAATTCAGGTGGTCAACGCGACCAGATCAGCGCCGATCGCGATTCGCAATGACTCGGCGCGCGCCATATACGAGGTCGGCCATACGGTACCGATACCTGAGCGCTGTCCAAACCTCGGTAAGGAAATAGAACTGGTGGTGATCGTGATGTCCGCGCCGACGCATCTCGAGGCTCGAACGGCAATTCGACAGACCTGGGGACACTTTGGCCAGCGTAGAGATGTGAGCGTGCTCTTCATGCTCGGCACTACTCTGGATCCTAAAGTCGAGGCGATCTTGCGAAAGGAGCAGAACATGTACAATGATGTGATACGCGGTCGCTTTCTCGATTCATATTCGAATCTTACGCTCAAGACTATCTCGACATTAGAGTGGGTGAACACTTATTGTTCCAAGGTGAAGTACCTGTTAAAGACCGACGACGACATGTTCATCAACGTGCCGCGATTGCTGGCATTCGTTAACAAACATGCAAAGGATCGTAACGTAATATTTGGCCGACTTGCCAGAAAATGGAAGCCAATCCGGAATCGCAAGAGCAAGTATTACGTGTCACAGGCACAGTTCCAGCAGTCGGTCTTCCCGGACTTCACTACCGGGCCGGCGTATCTGCTGTCGAGCGACACGGTGCGTCGTTTATACGATGCCGCTTTAGACCAGACGTACCTGAAACTGGAGGACGTGTTCACCACGGGAATTGTCGCGCACAAGCTCGGCATCAGGCGCTCCCATGCCAACGAATTCCTGAACAAGCGGATACAGTATACCCCCTGCAACATCCAGCGTGGCATCAGCATACACATGGTCAAGTACAGTGAGCAGTTCGATCTCTGGAAGAAGCTGCTCGACGGTAAGAGCAAATGCAAGTGATAACTATTAGCGAGGCCAAAGGCGACGAAGGTTCTACGCTTGACCCTGGCGAACCAAATGGTACGATCGTTACCGCCTTAATGCGATTTGAGTGCCCGGTTAAATGCCAACCGGCTATAACCAGCCGTCGTTTCACCTCATATACGTAGTCATACACGCGCGTGAACACACATATACATCCGACTCGAACTCGAAGACGAACTCGGTGACACGCGTATAAACTGTAGTCGGAGATTGTGTGTCGCGGCACGAGAGACTTGGAGATTTCGCCGCTTAGATTTTTACACGATGCACCAAACGTCTCACGACTCAGACTTTTCTCACAGGAGTCGAGAATGAAAGTAACCTTTATCTCGAATGAGTTTGCTGTGAGATGGAATTTGTAGTTTACATCTCTTTTGAAGGCAAAATATAATTTTATAATTAATTCTATGACAGAATTTCTTTTCGAAAAAAACATTATTTTATCATAGAGTTAATTATATTTCGTAATATAGTAATTTTATTTCTTCAAAAAAAGAAATGTTTCTCTTGTATCTCTTTTGAAACAATTATAAGAATATTATAATTTCAATATTTTATAATTTTCTCGACTCCTGATTCTTTTTTATATCCCGGTGCTAAACTCCCATAGATACAATCGCTCATGTTTTTATGTTTGCATATTTAGCGGCAAACACGTGCATCTAATTTTCGTTCTATTTTATGAACTATATTCCATTTTACATGTATAAAATCGAATCGATTGCTAAATATACGAACAGAACATGGGTCAATATTTTTATTGTATAATGTAGGGAGAATGCTCTTCGTATAAAGATTCCCAAGAGATTTTTTTGTATAATTGGCAATCTCGTTGCGACTACACGTGTACTCATACGCATCTAATCAAATCGGTTTCAATGTCTAATTAGCTATAATCAGGTCACAGTAACGATATGTAGTAGTATGTATTCACATATCCCGCGCTTTCTCTCAGTGAGAAGAATCTGAAAGCATTTTCCTGGACGAAAAATCAATATTTCTCATTGCAGTGTCATTTAACATTTATATATATATATATATATATATATATATATATATATGTAGTATTTTTGACGAATATATATAGTTTCTAGCAATTTGATTTTATTTTAAAGAATTTTACTTTCACAAAAATCAAGGCCGCATCTTTTATAATTATTAATATACATTAAATATTAATTATCGTAAAATTGAGAAAAATATATTGCTTAGATTTGAAAGGCCTGTTTTATATAATTCAAGGAAGAAGAATTTATATTCGTCGAGGAAATTGTATCTATAATGACGGGCAAATTTTTTTTCCATTATTTTCAAATCCAAATAATTGAGATATTTGAGTGGACGGAACGATATGGTAATGTTATCGAAAAAAAATTAATAGTTATTAATTTTATATTTACTCCACGATTATCAAAAATAAATCTGCGATCTGTAATAATTTCACATAATTACCAATTTATATATTACTAATTTTAGATTATTAATTTTATCATACGTTCACGTTCACCCGACAATCTCGGTTAAAATCACTCGACCTCGCACACGAGGAACAAGTAATTTCATCGGTAGGAATATACATTCGAAAATGGCGTGATTTATGTAATCCTAACGTTTCGGCGCGCGGATTCATTTCCTGCAAGAAAGTTTAGCCGCGAGGAGTTCGCGAGGTTGTGCCGATGTGATGTGCGCATATTGCATCAATCGAGCGCGATACCCGAGGCGTAAAATAAATGTGTCACGATGAATGGAGTGGCCCCGGAGTACCGGCTTCCCTCCTCCGCCGAATATTATCTAGTCATCGTCTAGATAATGCGTCGCATGATAACGCGGGCGAAATTGTGCGCTTGATATCGACCATACATACCTTCGTATATGTATATTTGAGGCATTCGTTATCGCATTTTTTTTTCATTTCCTGCGGAAGTATCGTAATATATATTTCCGTTCTCGGTGCCATACGTCCGAAGCATATACTAGAGATTTTTGGATCTCCCGAAACGCAATGAAATATACAAATATAATGAGCCAGAACAACAGAGTTAACTGTGTTCGAAAGTCCTGATTATATAAGTAAACATAATTCAATCATTTTCAGATGAGATCAATAGCCTTTATTTTTTAGTCATTTTCTTATTATTATTAAATAAATAATTATCTGATTTTGAAATTACTGTTAAATATAAGAATACGCATCTTAGTTATTTCATAAATATATTTTTATTAATATTTATTAATATTAATTTTTTATCGAAGAATTATTATATTCATTTATAATCCATCATTTTTCATCCGCTCATGCTAGCCACAATTATTTTTATATTTTATTGCGTCGGGGGCTTACTTATTGTGTTCCTAATGCGCATTTTGTTTAAAAAATCTATTTTTGTATTATTAATTGTAATCGCTTTTATTTTACTATTTTTTTACTTTCTTTATATCTTTTAAATTCGCCAAAAAATCAATTAAAATTGAACAACATTCTGAGAAATATTTTATCAAAGCTAAAATCGTAGTATGATAAAAAAATAAACTCTCGTCAAAACATAAGCGCACACTTGATTGTATTTTAAAATTATTTTACATTTTATTATTATACAACATACTTATCAATTTTATGTGTTGTGTAATACAAAAAACATTTGCATACGTAAAATATATAGAAAATATGTATAAATCAAGATACATGTATAAATTAAAATTATAAATAGAATTCTAACTTGAATATTGCGAATTATGGATCGTCTGTGAATATATTTGATAACTCTTAACAAAATTTAAAACGCGTCGAGTGTTTTTTTTTACGAGAAAGAGGGAGATTATCTTCTGCTTTTTATTATACTGCGAATTTAATTAGAATTCTAATCTCAGAATCGATTTCAATCTCATTGAATAAATAAGCAAAGGAAGGGTGTGTTTTCTGCTTCTCTTGGGTGCCGTGAGAACGCTCGCTCGAAAAATCATCGCGCGAATCGTCGCGAATTAATGAGCCTCGAAGATCAGGTCAAGGCTCCTCCGCTCGATTGCGACATAGCACGTAGTAGTCCAATTGTGTCCTTGGCACAATTTTTCGCCAACACGTCGAGCGAAGTAAAGGGACTTTTACGTGCGATAATCGTCATCGTTTATACCGGGATTAAGGAGATGTTTTTCCAGCTCGATTAATTAGAAGATTGCGACGTAATCTTCTCTTCTCCTAATCTTCTCATGCGGGAGAAGATTGCGCGGCGAAACCTCGTTTGACCTTGACGAAGTAGGATATCTAATACGAGAGATATCATTTACAAGTCTGCTGTATTCGTTGGCAAATCAATACAATTTCGTTTCCACACGAGAAACTTAGTCTCTTGCAAGAAAAGACGAGAAATAAAGAATAAGAAATATTTTCGAACGAAGACGACTAGATGTTTGCATGAATCATAAGCCATTATACGTTGTGCTATAAAAAGATGATTTTGCTCACGCGAAATATGTATGCGCATTCATTTATTTATGTATCGTAGGGAAGCACGTACACGAATTCTCGAAATAACGGATCGATGCTGCAGATTTAATATAGGCAAATCTCGCGGGGATTTCGTCATCGTCGCAAAACGGATCGACAATCGACGTTCTCGGAATCAAAAAAAAAATGCGAGTTAGAGTCCTTTAGTTTTGATATAGTACACGTACTTACATGTTTTAGAGAATCTGCAATATTGTATCATACGTATATACGTTCTCTCTCGCTCATGATAGGCACGTCGCACGATCATTGCGTATCCGGAGATAACAATTGTCGCAGTCGACGTAACGCACGATCGTGCAACGGATAATAATTTATTTCCATTCCTCTCTTTTTCTCCCTCTTTCGCTCTTTCTTCTTTTTTTCCTCTATAATACCGGTAAGCTAAGCTAGCTAAATGATTTGCATTTTATTTTTGTATATATCTGTTATGTGTATTATATTGTAGAATGTCTGCAAATGTGTGATTCATTATTCATTCATTATTATTACATTCATTATTCGAAACAATTGACGATTGTTTCGATTCGAGATGACTGATTAAGCTGTCGATCATCTGGTTCGAATTCTTCCTGGTTTAATTTTTGCGCGCTTGGCACGATCTTTTTTTAAATTTAAGTAAACGTTTAATTGTACTAATTATTAACGTTTTATGACAGATTTTTATTTATAAAAATATATAGGAAATATACATATATTATATGCATATTTATATAAAAAATTGTAATGTAAGTGCGAGCGTGAAAATGTGAACAAATGGACATTTCTCGAGCTCGTTACACTTTTATCGCATTGTGAAATATACAGCAACGCAATTCGCGTAGGACATCCGGTATGGATTAAGACGTACGAGTCAATGAAATTAACGTTCGCCTTGCAAAACGAAAGCAAGGTGAATGGATGAACTAAATGCGTATGTGTAATTCAAACCCGTATATGAATAATTGCGTTAAATAACTTCTCTAATTTTACAGTACATCAGACGTTGAGAGTCATCATATTAAACGTAATTATTTTCTTATTACATTATATAATTTATTATATTGTAGCAATATCAATTCTGTAAAAAAGAGAAAGATCCGCGAGAAGCGCATTTTGATTTTTAAAAAATGTAAAAAAAGCACTTTATAAAAATTTATAAAATATCTCTGAAAAATATTACCTGAATTCCTAAATTAAGATCTAGAATACTTTGTAAAGCGTACATAAGTATTTTAATTCAAGTTAAATCAAAAAGAAAATCTTTTTCTTCTCGTCGATTTCCAGCGACGCGTCGAGGAAAGCGTGTTTTAGCTATATTTCTTATGCGAGACTGATGTTTACGCGACATTCATAAAGTGATTATATGCGTTATTCTTTATCCATATCATCATCGCAGAGTTATGTGTAATATTTTAAGTTGCGAAAGAAAAAGGAAAAAAATATCCGTTTTTACGCACATCTCGCGCAACGCGCCGCACTTTGCGACGTGTCGGCGACTTGATTTTTCATACGATTTTACTTTAACGATCAATGAATGTTGTAAGCATTTAAAGCGATGTGAAAAATCGAATCGCTCCGAAGCTCATGGAACAAAAAGCGGCCTGATTAATTTCCGCATTTCATGCGATCGCTTGAGATCGTGCGCGTTCCAGAACTTCGAATATATTTTTTATTTCGATATTTATAGCATAATATTCGGATGTGACAAGTGCTCAATCGTCGTTTGAGGAATATAAATTCTTTGCTCATACTTATGTGTATGTTTCATTATTTAAATCCTGTTTATTTTGTTTCAGAAGGAAAGAAGGAAAAAAGGAATCAATCATAATCCTAATCAATTATATTTTATTGAGGAGAAATTGTTTATAATTTTTGGATATTTTTTTCCCAATTTTTAATTATTTCTAAGCATAT